ATATATATATATATATATATATAAAAGACTCAAACACTAATATTCTATGGTTATAATTTTTTTACATAGGAATCGTAATCTCGATCCAATTATATTCTTACTCTCTCCTGGACATTCTATCTACTTGGGAATTATATATATATATATATATATATATATATATATATATATATATATATGCACACATATGGTGTGAATGGAGGACTAGCATCGTCATCACTAATGATCACTCCAAACACTATCGTAATCATCACTAGACTCATTTAAGTCTTTCCGAAACCTCTGTCCTGTCGTCAGTTTGACACAGAAAAAAAAACCTGAAATGTTCGTATTAGAACTTCAGGTGTCAATGCCAAGCAGTACAGCACGCCTTTTCCAAAGTTCTGCCGTAGTGAACTGCGTCATGGTGATCTTTTTTCAAAACTGACCCACTATACTGTGTAGTCGACAAAATCAAAAACAAACGATGTGATGTACGAAATGGCAACAATTTGCCCTTCACACACACACACACACATATATATATATCATCAAATCGTATATATATATATATATATATATATATATATATATACGGGTCGGATATTCAAAGCATGCCAATACGAAATCGTCAAATGCAATAGACTGTTGGCGTTGGTGTGATTTCTGCCGATTTAGCAGACCTGTCCTTGACAAACATATTGCATTGGACAAATGGCTAAGTTGGTACCTCATAGCGATTCACGGCTCCCTTCCGAACTCTTCTCTTCAGTTGGGCATATTTTTGTGATGCCTCATGAAAATCTTGACGCCATCAACGATACCAGCTCTCCAAGAAACCCGGTCTTCAACTAGAGTCTCCCAGGTATCCAGTCCAATATTGTACTTGTATCTTTAAGTCAATCTTGGTATGTGCTGCGGTCTTTTCCTCATTTCCAATTCTTCGTACATTAATTATTTTGCCATTCTCTCTTCTGCCATACGAATGTGGCCTGTCCATCGCAATCTGTATATGTATACACATACATATTCTATTTGCACATATATATACACACACATATATATATATTCATATATATATATATATATATATATATATATATATATATATATATATATATATATATATATGTATACATATATATATATATTTATATATATATATGCATATATATATATTTATATATATATATTTGCATATAAATATATATATGCATTTATGTTCATATATATATATATATATATATATATATATATAATATATATATATATATATATATATATATATATTATGTTCATATATATATATATATATATATATATATAAATATATATATATATATATATATAAAATATATTCTTGTATATATATATATATGTTTCTGGTCTGGTCTCGATATTCTTCATAAAGTGGATATTAATTTTTCTTCATATATAGACATTCTGTTTGTGTGTCAATCATATATATATATATATATATATAAATATATATATTGAGAGAGAGAGAGAAGAGAGAGATAGCAGTGGAGATGATGAGGCAAAATAAAATATCTATGAGCGTCGCATTTAACTGTGAGAATCTACTCTCTCTGGCTTTCTTTAAAATGAAAGACAAAATTTGAATGTAGCGAAAAATGAATTGAGATCTCTGAGAATAATTGGGGACATAAATGAAATGAAATTAATTTATTATAGCCAATAACCAGACTCCAGTCAGTGCCTGTCCTCATATATATATATATATATATATATATATATATATATATATATAGTGGTGGAAATAAGTATGGCACCCCATGAAATTGTCAGTAATTTTCTTATTACTTCACAAATTCCTATGAAAATTTGTGTGTGGTACATAGATCCGATGGGTATTAGCATATATATTCGATTTTATTACAAGTTTACACCAAAAAAAAGTTTTTAATATTAACATAGAAGTTGCCCAGAAGATCACCCTTCTAGAATAATCCCATATACTAAGAAAAGTGCTATCAATGCAATGATAATTCTCCTATAAGGCCTAGGGATCATAATTTGGCCACGGATCTACCGGATACAAAGCAGGAAACATAACATACACAAATGATAATAATATTAATACTGATAATTATGCCTTCCAGAGATATCTTGCATAAGATTCTTACATCATTAACAATGTCTGTTCACAGCTTCTCGTATCTGACTTACAGAGTTATAGTACTAAGTCAACCTAAATAAAGTTCTTACTAATGCGAGTAAAAATGAATGAATAAATAAAATTCTGATGTTTATACCGATTCCGCAGATCGCGTGAATACCGAAAAGTGATTCGCGAAATCAGGTTGGATAAATTACACCTTGATATTGTCTTTCGTTATTTCTTTGTTTGTAAATGAAAGTAATGGAAGTGCGAATGTTTCTCCATTATTATTATTATTATTATTATTTCTTTTGAAGAGATACGCAGCGTAAAATAATGAGGATGGGATTTGAAAACAAATAAATGTGAACAAAAAGAGAATAGCAACGGAAGATTATCGAAATTTATACAATCAAAATGGAAGTCCACACGAAACAATAAGGACTGAATTCTTATAAAAGTTTAATTAACTTAGTAAACAAAGATTTCTTTTTTTTTCAAAAGAGCAGCCAAATAGGAAAATATTTCTTTAAAAAAGGGAAAGAAAAGTTCCAACACAATAGGATGCAATAAAAAGACTAAT